ACCCAGATGAGGTACTGGGTAGCATCTCTACTCGGGCGGGATGGGGGAGTCGAGCGCGTATTAACCCATCTCTTTTTTATGTTTGAGCCGGAACTGAAGAATGACAACTTACTTCAATATTATATAAGATGTTAATTACATTCGCAAAAATTTTATAGAATCGGGTGCTATCTTGTGGAAATCCATTGCTTTAACTGTGATATATGGCAACTTATGGAAGTTGCGATGAGAAGGTATGGACCTTTGTTAGACTTTACAGTGCAAACTCGGTGGTCGACATGGTAAGGACTTACAACTTCTGAGCATGCTCCTTGAAGAGACAATAACATGTCAATGTAGTTGTATATATCACGAATTGTTTTTGACGTTGTCTACGTATATAAAGTCTGTGATTTTGAATTGGATGTGAATATGTGTTCTGGTGTACCTTTATAACTTACCAATATAAGAAGTGGAGTACAATTGGAGTTCGAATTAAGCACATTTATCTTTTTCTGGTTTGTAAATGTTAGTTAACTTCAGATGTGCAATCTTACATTGCACATTCTGAATTCGACACTATATTTTCAGCCAATAACCATCGTCTTTACTATAGGGACGAAAGCTGGAAGACCTTGTCTAGGAGGGGCGAATTCGTCGCGAATTCAGGCGCAATTTTAGATTTATTGCTGCAAACGTTTTATTTATTTGTAACACCATTTCTTTTCTATGAGTAGGTAATATATATCATAAAAACTTTTTATAAAAAGTAAACCCAACCCGACTTCAAACTTTAAAAAAATGGTAAATAAAACTTATCTCAAAAGCGACTTATTCAAGATAATGAGATTCTTGAAGTCGGGCGAACGTTATTTGTAGGTCATTAATTTGAATAACTTGCTTTTGGGATACGTAATATTATTACTTTTTAAAGTTTGAAATCGGTTCTAGTAAAGTATACATACTTGTGGAACATAGAAATTGTTTCTTTCAGATTTTGAATGAATTCTAAATACGCATTTTTTTGTTTTTTAGCTGAAATGGGCCATGTCATAACATATCATATTAATATTTAGGTGATATCTGTTGGAAAACGTAGTTTGTTTTGTTACAAAAAGAAAACTACCCATTTGATTTCGACCTCGACCTACAAGCTGTCGGAAAAAATAAAGAATTTTGAATATCAGTTAACAATTGACGAAAATATCGGTCAAAATATATAAAAAAAAACATACATCGCCATCTAACATATAACGTGCTCCTTTTCGATTTTGAAGTCGATTAAAAAAGCGCCTGATGCGCACGTAATACTGACCAAGATCTCTGGCTCTTTTCTTACAGTTCCAGGCTAACAAGTAAACAGTTCGGATTTCTCACAGTAACTACATACTTTTTCGCAAATATTGTTACAGGAAATACGATAAATTACTATAGTGGGCCCGTGTTATTCCCTCAAATAATTCCAAGTCTCGAGTAATCGAATAATATTGAATGTCGGCTCAGTCAAGGCAACTTCCGTTATTTCGGGAAGCGGATACGGAAAGGGATATATTTTAGATCTTGTTATCGAGATATTTATGGTGTTATCATAAGCAATATCTAAAGTCTTCCATTAGGTACGGGTCATTTCTTGTGTAGCATATGAGCATGAACATACTGCATTTTTTTTATTTTCATATATTGAAAGTGGTCAAAATTATATTTCATCTGTAGCTGCAAAATCGACGGTTATTTCCAGTCTTAATGTTCTTAGCAACAATTACAAGGGCAAGAGCTCACTTTCAATTTAATTAAACATCTAGGTAAAAGATAAAACAAAATTCAAAAGAGCATATTGAAAGTGAAAAATATTTCAAGAAACTTGTATTGAAATCGGGCGGGCTTTTGTCCAGGTTGTTATTATTAAGTACCTGACTTCAATAAAAATTTCAAAGTATGAAATAAAATAAAAAACCGCAATGTACTTATTAGCTCTCAGTTATAACTTTTAATGATATTTGTAATGTCAGTATCATATTCATCTAGATATTTTGTAAGGATTGAGGAATTTTTTGAAGGAATATCCGAGAAATATCCGATTATATATTGCCGAGTACTAAGGTGTCACCGTCTCAGAGGTACCGGATTCGATTTCTCAGTCGAGTCAATGTAGAAAATGATCTTTGGGTGTACTGGTACCTGCGTTGTTTCTCTACAATACAAGAGCTACGTTACTTATCTTGATATTCTTGATATGTATTATTATGATTTAGCCCTATATTTATATTTCTTTGGAAAAAGGTCTCAGTCGCGTTTGAATGTTTTACATTATTCAAATCGTAGTTGTGTATGCTCTAAAATAGGTTTATTTTATTACGACTTACCTACTTTCCTTTTTTACCATACCGTACGAAGTCTTGACAGTCACCATAAGATTCTTCGCCACTGTGTGTAATATGCTGACCATACTTATAATCTGTATGTATACTAAAATCATAAAGAGAAAAGATTTGATTGTTTGTTGGTAGGCTTCGAAAATACTGGACCGATTTTAAAAATTCTAGTGAACATAGTCTATATTTTATCCTGAAAAACAGGAAATAAAGGATGAAAATGGGAGTGAAAGTTTGTATAGAAATAAAAACTTTCAGTGTTATTACAAAAAAGATAAACACGTGTTCAACGCGTGTTTATCTTTTTTGTAATAACACTGTTTATGTTTATTATTCAATGTTATAATAACCATCGTTTATTATAAAATTTGTCATTGTAATTCTTATGCGTGTCATGATATGAATCGATATCCAAATACACAGTTCCCTATTGACCACGCGGGTTAAGCTGCTGGCGGAAAAATAGTAAAATACAAATTAGAAAAATGCTTTCTTCTTTACTACAACTAGATATTTTCCAGCGACTTCGCCCACATAAATTATAGACTATTTCGCTCGTGTATAAAATAGTTTACCGCGTGTGAAAGAATTTTAAAAATCGGTCTAATAGAATCTGAATCTGTTCAATAAAGACAAACAAACAATAATTTTTTCGTCTTTGTGAAATTAATATAATATATTTAAAAAAAAGGGTTTTTATATTATAAAAACCCCTTTTTTTTGTAAAAATAACATTGGTTCTCAAATAAAATATAACTTATAATGTAGATTTTGCAATATTGTCATTGCTAATTTTGTTGGTTAGTTAAAAATCGTTAACGCTAATTTCAACTGCAATTGCTAACACTCAACAATCCATATTGGGCCTGACAAAACATGATTGACCTTAGCATTAAATCGAGTTTTTATATACAATGTTAGGTTTTTTTATCAAGCTTTGCACGCACTGGTAATTTTTGTAATGACTTTTTAATATTTGTGCATACGATTTGACAATGAGAATTGCACTGACCAAATTTTCATGTTAAATGTACTGATCTCTGTTTGTGTTTCGGTACATAAAGCTTTAGTTGTTGTAAACAGTTACTATATCTACGAGTAGTTTTCTATATAGATATTATCGACTTATCGATACGAGAAATCAATTTTTTTCTTATTTTCTAGTATTCTGATAATGTTGTTTTCCTATTCTTGTAGCTATCATCTATATCTTTATGCAAATGATAGAGATGGATATGTAATTATAATAATTAGAAAAGTTTCAACTTTTTGGTGTTTTTAAACATTTTAATGAATTGTTACTTATTCACTAACGAGTTCACTAACATTCTTTGATCTTTTGAAAAAAGTGTAATTATGATAAAAATAACTGTATATTTAAAATCAAATAAATTTCGAGACATAAACTACATAAATAGAAATCGGAAATTTTAACGTAGAATCAACTCTTACCAAATATCATTTTCACCTCTTTATAAATGTAATAGAAAATGAAATACAAATTTGTGAATCCGTAATTTGTCCAGCATTATCATGCGAAAGCAATATAACGCGTGAACGAGCACAAAATCAAAAAGGGACTTTCGTTTCCTTATAAATCACTATTTGTCTTCTTCCTCAACCCTTTTCTTGGGTTCAATTTTGTGCGCGGTGTTTTGTTTTTGTGACGGCTCCACGTTCAATGGTGTCAGACAGCTGTCTATCATTTTTGGTAAGACACACACCCTAAAAATTATTTATAAGATACATCATATTAGTTATGTAACATCCAGTAGGTTACATAACTAATATGTACATTATTTATATTTATTTTTATGATAGTGCTTTTAGTTTCTTAAATATACGAGTATTATACTTGTAGCTATATTAGTCTGTAATGAAAACTATCCTCAAAGTCGACATCGAGAAAAGTGCTGTCGCAGAATAGATTTTATTTCTTGAACCCATATGCTGGTACAGCGCTGTGTTCGGCGTCAAGTTCTACATCGATTTGATTACAGAACACCACTGGTATTCACATGAAAATTCATCGGGTATACTCTGAATTTGGGTCAAATAATATTATATATTATGATATTACCACTAAGAAATATTTTGCAGACTGATTCAGATATATTGCTACGTTCAATAAGAACAAATGAACTACGCTGTATAAGATACCCATCAGTTAAGACCGTAGTAGTAAAAAACAATTCAAATAAGTTGTAAATACTCTCCAATATTAATATTCGTTAGTCGACTACAAGAATATACTTGAGTCTAATTGTATTTATTATTTTATTACTTGGGCATTACCTTTCCACTGTGAAAGAGAGAAACAAGAAAAAAAAACACGTTTTGATTTAGTACTTTTTTACTAAACTGTTATTTTTACAAAGAAACTATTCACATGAAAATTGTTACATTTACATCTTTGATATTTAACAGTCGACAAATAGAATCAGATAAAAGATGTTAGACATCGGGTGACTTAATTCTATAATTACATTAATTATTATAATATTTACAATCCCAAAAGATAATCTTTAGAAACTTTATACATCCTCTTATGAGTATCAGTGTAAATAAAGAAGTCCATAGTTAGTAAAATTGACAACTTAATCAAAAATATAGACTAAGAATTACAAAACCTATTATTACATTAAATAATTATGTATTTACATGTTCGAGCATCTCTGGCAGAGCATTATACGCTACCATGTTACCAAATCCTTTTGGTTCTTTTTTTGTTACAATTGTGACTATTTCTTCCTCAGGTGGAGGTGGAGGAAAGTCAACACTTTCATCGACTGTAGTCGAATTCTCATCTACGCCAATTACTACCTCCCTATTGTCAATTTCAATTCTATTACGTTCAACTACAGAATTATCCTCCATTATACTATACAAATTTTCTGATTTCCCTTTAAACATTTGTCAGGAAGTCATGTAAAATGGATCGTTTAAGATAACTTCGTCATTCACAGCGTTACCTTTTTGAGACCATTCTTTCTGTTGGTGTTTTATTCTGTATATAATTTCATCATGTATTACACCAAAACACATGGCTGTCAAAGCTAGCCCGGTAAGTGTGTAAGCTGAACAAAACCATAAAGTAACAGAATTGGTAGTGTAATATCTTACTCCACTAATAGTAGTATAGCTCATTCCTGGTATAATATTTCCAAAACCTATTGTACTTAAAGCCATAAAACAAAAATAAAATCCATCTATAATACCCAAACCATCTAATTTATACAATACTACGGCCCCTATAATTATGTAAATAAATATAGCTGCAAGACAAAGTAATACTGGAGCAAGTATACTCAACCCGTGCATTGATAATTTAGAATCAGTATCAGGCCAACTTATAACGTCATCTTTGGCAGTACTGGTTGTCGGTCGCTCTGATATGGACAAGTCTTTTTGACTATCAGGTTTCAATACATAGCATTCTTCTGTAGGGGTCTTGCTAGTATTTTGGCTATTAAGCATTTCTTCCTGCTGTCTCTTTAGCTTCATTCTTCGTTCCTTTTCCGCCATACGCCTTTCATCATAGCAGCAATATCCACAGTTAGAACAAAGACAGCAGCATAATGCTCTACTGAAAACACTTCTTGCCATTTTTGACAATAAAGACCCAACACTCGAAAGATACACTAACGTCAAAGGTATTCCAATAAGTGCATAAATAATAGTTACACCTTTACCTAAGATAGTTCTTGGTGCGATATTTCCATAACCTGAAACAATATAAATTGAATTTATAAGTAAATTTGAAGATATCAGAACTTCATTTTCAGAAGCAGACGTAATACAAACCTATTGTAGTTAATACGGTCAGTGAATAGAAAAATGCAAGAGCTAAATTCCATTCATGCTCCTCGTAATGGTTACTAACGTCGCTTCCACCAAATTCACCGAGAGCCATCTCCCGGTAACTGACTCCATATTGCGATGCCATTTCGGTAGTCACCCTCTGAACTAGCTCGTTTTGAAACTTTAAGATCTCTTGTGCGGCCAGCCTTGTCCAATTTTCTCTATACAATATATTTAGTGATACTGTTATTTCCCAGATATTTTCTACAGCTCGACTTCTAGCATCCCAAAAATAGTTTGCGGAGAGCGTCAAATTATTATATTCATAATCATCTTCAGAATGACGTTTATTAGTGTTATTATGATCTCTAGGACTTGTCTTTTGTCTATCTGGCAATAATCGGGGCCGTGCTGGCATTTCCACACCACCTTCAATGGCTAAAAATATAAACGATCCCAAAAACGTATAGGCCAGTAATATGGAAAATATCACAACATTCGTAAGGGAGCCGATAATAAATTGTTTTCTTCTATACTTCGTTGTTTTAAAACAAAAGCAACAAACTACTTTCTGGCGAGAAGTTTGCGCCCTCTTTTTGCTATTAGATGCCATCGAGTCGGCATCTTGGCATCTGTCCAATGGTATTCCTCCATTAAGCGAGGGCTTTGTCAATGTATACTGTTCGAATCGGCTGATCGCCTCTTTATCCAGTACCACATGATCTATGTCCATTTTCGCTTACGGTTGTTACCTCCCTACCTCTTGTGACGTCATTATCTTTTCGTCGCCGACTATCTGGAACAATGAAAAATTTTTCGTTAATATTACTCAAGATTTTTCCTTACACTAAGTGGATAGCCATTTTTCAAAGTCCTTTTAGATGGAGGGGAATAAGTGACAAATGAAGAAGTATGATGTTAGGAAAATGATTAATGTTCGGTTAAAATCTTGTCGCGGCCATACATTTAGAAAACAGGATCCGACTAATATTAAAAAGAGCTTTGCCCGCAACTTCTATCGTAACTAAATGGCAATAATTCAGATGACAAATTTTGTTATCTTCAGTTTTTCTCATCTTAAAACGGTTTAATGCAAATCGTGGAACTAATTCATATAAAATTTCAGCAGTAAGGATAAATTATAGGTATATCATTCCCATGATATCATATCTTTATTATTACAAATTCAAGTGCTTTTGCTACAGCAGTCTGTTTAAACTTATTAAATAAAAAAATGGAACCGACTTCAAATCAAAAAATACTTAATGCAAATTTAAGACTTGTATGCTTTTCTTATAGATACGAATTGATACCAAATATACACAGATAAAATGGGACCACACGGCAAGCACTAGCTTTCAAATAAAGAAATAATCATAAAAACCGGTCAATCCAATAAAAAGTTATGAGGTAACAAACAGAAAAAAAGTACAGTCGAATTGAATGACTTTTTTTTGAAGTTGGTTAAAAACAACCGAACGGATTGCTTTTTCTTCTTTAATCTATGTATACTAATGTAATGTCTATTTACTGAAGTATGGCGTTAATTGCAAAATATATCGATTCGAATGAAATTGTCATAAAAACTATTTGATAGTCATCTTCTTGATTATTTACTGGTATAAATATTAAAATTCGTGTTTAAAACTTGTTAGAAAAATTAACTTTCTCGATTTGCGTCACCTTAACAGAGAAGAATTTAAAGCTTCCAGAAAAAAGTACAACAAATCGGCTATCGAAAATAATTGGTTTGCTTTCTATTATATGCTCCTCTTACCAACTTCGTTCATGATAAAATATTATTGTGCGTTTACGATACAATACGGCATTGTTCGTGATTTCGTCTTTCATACTCTTTATTGCAAGACACAGGCAATTTTTGCTCAGACGAAAATAAGGGCAACAGAATATAACAACATTAGTGGAGTTATTTGATCAGCTAATAGCTCAGGTTTCTTGTTTATTTCTGGCGAGTGAAATTCTTATAGATACAGAATACAGTCACGTACAAATAACAAAATCTCTTAATGACCGTGAACTATGATAACTAGTAACTTCCACACCCAATCAGAAACTACAAGACCTGTTGTACATCAAGCGCATTTGGTTGGCGCCCGTCGGAAAACACATGCACACGAACAATCAACGACAAATCCTGTTACTACCACTCTACACTTGTTTCGTCATTCTACGAAGCATCTTCAGTTGTTTGACCTTACTCTGCCAGCCATTACTAAGCAACAAATCAGGATTATATCTTATTATAACCATCTGCGTGTCGGCAAATTTTTGTTTATACCAACTATGTTAAATTTTCTTACAACCCTTTTACGTCCCCACTACAGGGGCTCAGGCCTTCCTTATGGATGGTTAAAGAGGATGGGACATGACTTTCCACGCGAGCCCAATGCGGATTTGAAGATATTCACAACTGCAGATGCAGCCGGGAATAAGAATTTAACGTGCCTTACGAAGCACGAAGTAGCTCGAGGTAATATTGGTCACCCACCCCGTGGCCGACCCTTCCGAAAGTTGGTACGTCACCGAGCTACTTCGAGTAAGGTTGCAATTACCTTCTGAGATTAAGGTACCAAGCAGTTTACACCTACACATCATTAATACATCAAACATCGTACTTTAAAAAAATATATATATTCATGAATTAAAATTTATTGATAAAGTAAAAACCTATACACTAACACTTAAATTATAACCCTAACGAACCGTACGAAACTCTGTTCAATAGCTCCAGTGCGAAATAAATTAAAAAGCTTTGATTTACTACACAAAGCCTTATTGCAACATTTGGTTCCTTTCAAATTTATCGGTGCTACAATTTAAAACCACTGGGACCAACCAACACTCGCAACGCAAATTCTAAAAGGTACGTATTTTGGTATCAATTCGATAGCGATCCAGCCAGTTTGTTAACAATAAAAAATATATTTTTTCACGTTTATTTACAAACATTTCGTTCCGGTTCAGGCCCGTTGATTGATCAGACGGCATATTTCTTTATATGTATAGATTTATTTTCTGGACACGCACGTTCTTTCGATTTTTCGCAAAGGCGGGAATGCTTGTTACGTGTTATGAATGAAATGTATGCTACGTTTTAGGGTACTGTGTGAATGGGAATAAAGAAACATAAAATTTATGATTTCTATTTCGAATCTTATATGTATATTATGATAAGCTGCAAATTATGCTAGAGGTATAGAAGATTTTGCGGTGCTACATCCGGAAAGGCTACCATAATGAATAATGTGTATCATTCTTCTTATAAATAGATAAACTAATGCGATGCACCATAATTACTAGAAAGAGGTTACAATGACGTCTTAATAATAATAAAACTTTATTGCCATACCATTTTTACAGTTACAGTTTAAGTTTTTAACATTAAATTTACAAATTAATTATAACACGATAGTGTAGCAATTGGCGGTCTTATCGATAACAGCGACTTCTACCAGACAACCTTTGGATGAAGAAGAATGAATAATTAATACTATTAGTACCAATAAAATGCTTAACTATTAAAAGGCAATTTTTTGGGAATTCTAATAATGTTTTATCATTATAATTTATAATCTCAAATATGGCTTTAACAATTAGGAAATTGTAATTTATCATCTTGGACTGGTGAATTTTGTAAACGTTTGCTATAAGTTAAAAAAATATAGCATTATGATCGAATTTATCAAATCAAATTGTAATATATGTTTTGTAACAACTTAAAGTTATTTTATCTGCTTTAGACAATTCTAAGTTCCCTGCTAACGAGCAAGCAGAACAAGCAGAGAATGAAGTCTGCTTGTTCTGCTTGTTAGCTCTTCTTGGCAGAGGCGATCAAGGTCTTTAAAATATGCTAGTGGTAGTAATTGATAATTAAGCTCCTTGTGAACTTTAAAACAAACGACCATATATAATTATTTATATCTAGTCTCCCATTGAAATTTATAAGTCAATTGACAGTTGCAGTCTTTAAAGGACATGGGAGTCGGAGGAGTTTTGTAACAATGGTGATTTGAAATAACACCGATTTCTAGGATCTAGAAAGCAAATACTCAGCCCTCCTGAAATAGCTAGAAGTATGAAGTAGTTATATTTGTTATCGCCTACGTATTTACAGAAATTATTCTTAATACAAAATGCTTAAAAAATCCACTTGGTCCCTGGCACCCTGAGATGGGAATCGAACCCACGACCTTTCGCAATCCGGGCGACTGCTCTAACCGCTGAGCTACCCAGGACCTAACAGGACTGACGAATCTTTCGAGCACTTGTTACTTTTCGATACTACAGAGCGTATTCTCATCAATGTTCAGGCATCCACCCAAACAACCGAAAGAAATATTGTTACAAATATTGAAACTTTCGAAAAAGATGGGAATTTTGTTCTAATTATTATACTTTGATTAATTTTGCATTCACAATGCTATTCAGAAAATTATTCTTAATACAAAATGCTTAAAAAATCCACTTGGACGCTGGCACCCTGAGATTTTCTTGAAATTTTTATAGAAGTTTCAAATCACTTCTAGTTCTTTAACCAAAAACACTCGGTCTCCGATGTTTATTAAATTATATAAATAAGAGTTCAGATTTTACGAACTTTTATACTCTATTCCAATGTTTATTTTATTACCCTGCTTATAATTTGTCAAAATTAATAGCATACACCAAAAGCTTCAAAGCTTTAGTTCAGGTGATGATCCCAAAGCTGATAATCTTTTGATCCGTATTGACGTCATAATTATCTAGCAATTAGCAGTTATTGATTGGCAATTAGCTGTTAAAGCGATAAGTCGTTATAAGTGACCTTGAAATCATATCATCAGACTAATGATATACTGAATTGCGACGGTTCAAAAGCTAATTGATTTAATTTTAAATTTTTGTTGATATTGAGTTGTATACGTTATTGGATACAAGCGAAATTATCCGATCCATTTTTTTGTAATATACATATCAAATAGTCAACTACTAATGTTGCTGTTTACTAAATATTAATAAAATAATGGCATCATTGTAATGAATACAACTCGCGCTTGACCGTTTATATGGAAACACCTAGTAACCGAGAATATTGATATTTTGATGGATTACACTGTTTGCCGCTTCAAGTATTTTGATATATCACTGTTTTAGTTACAGCGGGTTTTAAAGTTTAACATTCTTGTCTTCTCTTGTGTGTTAATATATCTATTTTCCTACTTTAGATATGTCTTTCAATTTAATTTAATATTGTTTATCATTTTTCTCTTACCCATTTGTTGCCTAGAAGAGATTGCTGTATAGAAATAAGGACGCCATTTTATATTAAATGTAGGAGTAAATTAGAATATTTTCATTATTAAATATTAGGTTAAAGTATCTCTAACAAACGAGAGATGACACACAGTTAAGATAGTTTATATTCCATAGTCTACACACTTCATTTTGAATCCCGTAAGTATACTCCACAATGGATTTTATAAGTAAGTCTATCACGTTTTGTTTCTCGCACCTCAGAGAAGGTCCTACTGTTGGAGAACCCAGATTTGATCGCATTATACCGCATATGTCGCATTTCGAGCTAAATATGTAATTATTAATGCTAAAATACGTGGATGATAATGGCGCATCATCCTTAACTATCCACAAAAAAGATCTGAGCCCCTACAGTGGGGACGCAAAAGGATTGATGACTAATTCAACCTTAAAGTTTAAGCTACTTAATTTTGTGATGGTTGAAAGAAAAGAGAAAAAGAAACAACTATTTTATTTATATTTGTATTTTAGAATAAGAAAACATCAAAGAAAGTAAAATAGATCAGTTTTATGAAATATCAACCAGGTTATATTATTAATTTTTATCCAGGCTAAAAGCTAATAAAGTTATTGAAAAAACTACAACTCTATTATTGTTTGTGTTCCTATAATAATACAAGAGCCCATTCTTCCGCTGTCACAGATGACAAGGGACCGCCATTATCAAGTAGAAACAGCTCACTGGTCAGCTAGGGAAATAACTCGGTTAAAATAAAATATAATACGTTTAACTGGAGAGTTAAAATTTTAAGGAAAAACGTATTAAAATGTAACTTTTAAGTTGGACGTAAGGATAATACTCGTATTCGTTAGACACCAACAAAAAATATTTTGTTCATTGATGAGGCCCATGTAGCTAGATGCAGTAGACGTCCATAGGTCGATGATGATAAGGAATTTGTTAAATATAAACTAATCTAATTAAATTTTTAATTATGTCATGGAAGCAAACGAGCATGTTCATCATCATCACCAGCCCTTTTACGTCCCCACTGCAAGGGCTCAGGCCTTCCTTATGGATGGTTAAGGAGGATGGGCCATGACCCTCCACACTGGCCTAATGCGGATTGGAGGGTAAACGAGCATGTAATCGATTAATACTATATATTGTATATCATATAAAAATCATCAATTCCATTAAAATCCACATAAAAATCGAATTAAGTGATATTTTAAACTTTAAAGTAGGTTTTAGTTTTTCTAAAAAATATGCCTACCTATAAATGTCTATCTGTCTGTCTGTGTCAATAAAAGTTCTCCTTTCAACAGCTGATAAATCATCACATAGTGACTGAATATTGAGTACACAACCAGTAAGACAAGAATCGCGCCTCCAACCGCGAAACGCGATAACTTGCTCCCCCTCCCGCGCGGTACCGCGTTCTACCCCCACTCGCATATCGGATTAATCTTATTGGACGTATAGGTAAAGGGTGAATATTAAAATATATAAATAAATAATTTTGTTACCTGGCTTTTGCTATGAGATTGACATTTCAGTGAAGGTACCTAGCTGACAATGGTATGGTAAAAATAAATCAAAAGATACGTATATATTTTTTGTATCAATTCAACTAGATATGGCTTAGATAATTGGCATTAAAGTTGAGGAGAGGCTCTCTACGTCACAACTATGTAGAAAATGTACAAAGGTGTGATGTCATACGACATTTCAACTAAATGTATCGAAGTAATTTACTGGTAACAAAAAAAATACTCATACATATTTGCATAGTAACTATTATGTTGTCGAAGTAGTTCTATTATTTGAAAGAACGCTTTGACAAAGCGTATACAGTTTCAATATTTATTATACCCACTTTGGAACTGAGCAATCAGCATGAATCAATATTATTTGTATCAACAAAACTCAGCACTTGTTCCCAACTAATAGCCAAATAGACTGCCGAAATTATGCACCGTACAACATTTCTATACCGAAATCCGATTCGCAGGTGTAAAACTAGTTAGGACCATTTCAGTTGGCAGCCGAGTGAACAACAAAGCCAATTACGGTTTCGGTAACGACAGCCGTTTGCTGATCATTAGTGGTCGGCGCTGTTATTTCAATAGTATTATTGTAAAAATATACGAAGCTTGAGATTGGCATCATTAGAACGTGGAACTCAGAAATGTTTGAAGATTAAAATCCGTTTCATAATTAGGGCAAATATATGCGCTACAGCGAAATATCGATACAGCGGAAGATGATTTAAGATAAATAATTACAAGCATTTTAAAATTCACACCCAATATTACGAGCCTATAATGTCACTACTGTGGAAGCCTTTCATATGAATTCTCCCACCACGCAGCCGGCATCAACTACTATACATGCTTTCTTTAGCGTGGAGTTGCATGAGATAATTAAATGCTCACCCATCCTATGACCAGCTCTTGCGAAAATCGCAAGCCAAAGGCGCAAATTATTGCGCTATCAAGCTCCTCTTACAAACTAACAGCTAGTTGCACAAATGTCCATTAAAATACGCATTAGTTTAAAGTGACATTACCCATACAAATTTGTCATTTATTAGAGCTTAAAGGCGTCATTAAACCTTAATGGACGTTTGTGCAACAGACCGTAATTCTATCAAATACACCACGTAGTAACTTTTCCATGAGCCTATATGCCAGACAAGTTTTTCCAATAGACCATTGGAGATCCTGTATAACCTTACGGTATATACACTCCCTGAGATCCGTGTGCCGTGTTTCCAAGCATATGCAAAACTAATCTAGCTATTATAAAAACTTCTATTAAGCAATTTGTTTTTATCTACCATTAATAATATTATTCTTTTAGGTTTCTAAAAAGCTTGAAACATAATTTGAGTCTGAATCTTCGGCCAAGCTGAGGCAGATGCCACAGATCTAAGCTAAGTAACATCTTTAATTTATATTTATCCTATATTTCAAATAATTTAAAAAAAAATATATCTTACCTGCTTCACGTATTCATATTCTTTGTAGAGTTAGTGTAACCTGTAACAAAGAAAGCATCTGCTATAAAAAAGTTATATGTCTATAGAAAGTTCATCATTATCATCACCAGTCTATTAATATCCCCACTGCTGGGCCACAGACCTTACATATATAATCGATTGATCATATTGAATTAAATAGGGTAAATGGACTATATACCCACCACACGGACCCCTGCGAATTAGTTGGTATTAATGACGGCCAGGACCAACGGCTTAACGTACCTTCCGTAGCATGGAGGGGATCGGGATTATAATTTTATGGTCATTCACCATATAACTGATTCTTCCGAGTTTATCTTAGCAACTGTATCGCAAACCGAACGCGCTAACCAAGCCCCTTAAAGTATGAAACGTTAATCTACGAATATAATAACTTATAAGGAATAATATCTATACATGTCCTTTTCTATTTGCTATTTAATAGAGCGAGAAATATATCAGGCGCGCAATAGCACGTCACAGAATCCTCAAGACGAAAGGCTTCATTCTTTCTTTTATTATAAAACTCCTGTTTTCCCGCGACTTCGCCTATGTAAATTATAGCCTATGCCAACCTTAAAGCTAAATTATAGCAAACAAACAATAAAATCTTTTAGCTTTGTAATCCGCCCCTAAACTGATAAAACGGTTTTTTATTAAATTTGATAGATTTTAATTAGGGAAACACCATAACTTACCTATGATCGTAAAGGAAACGATTGCAATAAGAAAAGTATGGAAGTTCATTATTGAAAGTACCACGTGTTACGCGGACGAAGTCGCGGGCCAAAGATAATACTTAATATACCCATTGTATTCCACATAAGATTACATTTGAAATATTGACATTAGGAAAGGCAATTTCATATTTCAGGATTTCCTTTGAAAATTATAATACATAGAATAACAGTGCTCTCTGAAGCGGAAGAACAAATATACTTATTTGATTTGCGCATTACATTGTGTACTTTGTAATTTCTTCGGATTCATTGATAATCATATTTGGTATAGAAAACGTATGTAGACATTTCTTTGTTTCAATGATAATGAATGGTAATAGAAACTTTTTCTATAGAAATTTTGATAAGTAATTTGCAAATCTCATAAAATAAATAAAAACATAAATTTGATAATTGTTTTTACTTTTGATATAACATAAAATATTCAGGCTTAGTTGTATTAGTAATTGGCATACCAAGCTGATTATAAATTCAAGTTCAAAGTACAAGCTATTTCAGTCATAAATCTCATTATTTTCTTGCTAGTTTCGCGATTATTTATTTAAGTTCAGCGCAATATGTAATCTTCTTCCAAACTTCTCAGTCAGCTGTCATCTCAATATTCACTCTTACTCATATCTTATACAGCCAGTTGCACAAACGGCCATTGAAATTTTCATAAATTTAAAGCAACATTACCCATACAAATTTGACATTCATTAAAGCTTAAAGGCGTTTTTAAACCTTAATGGACTTTTGTGCAATGGACCGTTAGTCTCACGCATCTATCAAATAGTCTACCCACCTTTTTTCGGTCTTCCTCCGTGTTCATTTTAATCATTAATAATAGTATATTATTCAGAAAAAAAAAACATAATTAAAATTTTCACTACATATTCTTACTGTACATTTTACAAAGCGTTTCCACACCACTGCTCACCCGCAATAAGAACGAATAGCTCTCATTTCCAACGCATTCGTATGTTGCAACGGCAATAGTTTTGGAATACAAATGCCTTTATTAATTCTGCACCAGTGAATTCGGGTTACATTGAAAATTATTCCACTATATATCACCTTATGCAACCTTAGCTCGTGTTCGGTGTAAGTTATAGAACTTTTGTGAATGCCGGTCACAGGATGTGTTATCATCATGCACCTCTGTGCTTGGAAAAGAATGTCAAGCCACTGGTCTTTGTTGTATCTGCAGTATAAAAAGACTACCAAAAACTCTCGTGGTAGCTTATTACCTTCATCTATTTGTTTATATTCACAGGAAAGGCCTGTAGTAAGGAAGTTGGAACATTAACAGGCCAATGATAATAATGAGGTGGATGTACTCAGAATACACTAATATTATAAGGACAAAAACTTGGAATTATTAAACATAATCATCCTAATAAAATCTCCATTGGTGCCTTCCTACTTGTGCCTAAAGAAATACCAATATAAATAATAATTAATTAATAATACACGAACTCACTACAAGGCTTTATTATATACTTCGGAAAACAGCAACATGTCGGAAAACTTTACAGTTTTGACAAAATGAATCCCAAACGATCTATTTGCAATATTATATCAATCATATAACAAATGTGAAGAGTATTTTTGTGACTTTAGTCGAACACGCTAATTTCATAAACTACTAGTCAAAATTGAAATATATATATATTGAATAGCCTTTTAATGAGGAAGACTATGTGCCATCACGCTAAGATCGAATGCATATGCAGTATTGAAAAATGGGAAAACCATTCGGGCAAAGACGCTGACAGAAAGTTAGTCAAGCCAGCTAAGCGTGCGAAGCCGCGGGAAAATAGATAGTATAATATAAAATTCAATATATATATTTTTTACTAAACAATGCTATTCTGTGCCATACTGTATAGTAAAAGTAAGATTTTTTTTCATAAATATTAGTCAACAAAGAGGTGATAAACTCTTGTAGTTTTGAGTTAAAGCATGGATATTCACACATTTAGTGCACACTCTTTCTTCGAAAATACGCTTCATGCTATATTATTTTATCACTAAGCATCAAATCAATTCTTCACAACGGCTCTCATGAATTTAGTGGCAGTAAAATGCACAGTACTGGAGTAGATGCATTAAGTCTAGGTACTTCATGCATTCATAAGTTTAGTAGGCCAGTCATTTATTTTAAATTTATTGCATATTTTAATTTTCAATTTTATTTGTAAAAACTAAATTTTGATTTTGATTTGTGTATATGAGTGTTAATGCTTATAATAGATGGAATAAATAAATAAATAAAATTTATGATTTTCCCGCTTTATGGAGCTGAATTTTGAAATTACTTTTAGCTAGATAAATAATAACCTGGGACAGCAATCTCAACATAATTCAATCTCACTAATTCTAATGCAATCTTACTAAATTCGATCGTTAACTTTTATTGAAAATCTCTTCAATATGTATATTGTTATTTATTTGGCGCAAGCTGCGTGTAACTGTCTTAGCGATATTTGTTAGTTTGCTAGCGATTGAATTCATTTTGCTATCGAATTCTGTAAAAATGTCATCGAAAACTTTGTCGAAATTACAGAAACTGTTTATTAATTCAAACTATGAACTACGAGTGTATTCATTTTGATACAAATCAATCTAGCTCGAGAAAATCAACTAAGAAAATTATAGTTTATATTGTTTAATCTATATTTAAAACAACATGTAATAGTTTAAAGGAAAGTAGGAAATTTCTGTAACAATCGTAAAAAATATTTTCAACGCGATTAAAGGCACCGTATCTCCATGGAAAATAATAAATCATAATTTTCAGCTGAAAGTAATAGTTCCAAAAAGAATATTAGAGTTACAGGGGATAGATATTTTATTAGTTCAATGATTTATTCGTTCCAGAAACGCTATTGAATTTTTTTCTTCATTTGGTTGAAAGGTTGCTGACGAAAAAAATCATTTTTTACATTACTGTGTCATATTTCTTTTTCTGCAAATATTATTTTTCAGACAAGTTTACCTATTTAAAGTACTAAAACTTATCTAAATTATATTTAATAAAAAAATACGAAGAACAATAGCTCTAACTGTAGTACAATTATATTATTTTCTGTTTGTAGTATAAATAGAAGTTATATTAAGTCCGCTAGAGTAAATTAATTAATTTGTCTTTCTTTGAATAAAAAATTACTTAAATAATATACAAAGTAAGGATACGGGAAATACGTTCGAATACAGTGAAGAGAAGATTCTTAAGGCATAAAGTATAGTTAAATAACTTCCACAAAGATCAATCGACAATTTCAATATAGAACTGTAGACGATCAATTACTCAATTTTCAGTAAAACTATATCAACCACAAACATTATATTTATATATCGCACCCCCGGTGCGACACTGACACTTTTGCAAAAAATACAAAAACTAGTTAAATATGTAATAATTGTCCTAAAGCCCCCTTTACTTGGTGCGATAATGTTACTTTTGTAGATGAATCATACGGAACTATGTTCCATATAATTCATCTCATCTGTATCTTCTAAAGTCATTGTTTTGTGAGGTTACAGAGTTTAAAACTCTTCTCCTGAAAAACTAAATTTTTGCATAAGTGACAGTGTCGCACCGGGAGTGCGAATATATAAAACTGCATCCCACAACGCAGTTCTGAAGTAAAAAGTTGAGAAATCGAGTCTAACGTACCTTTCTATGGAAGCTTATAGCTAACAACAAAATTGCTTCTATAGAAACAGCAAGATCAAATCATTTTTGATCGTGTTATATTTTTGATAGTTTCTCATTTTTTGCAGGTCATTACTTCAAGTAAAACACACTAAAATTAACTAAACAACATGCACACCCCAAATAAACTAAAAAAAAAAAAATTAATTAAACCAAAACTAACATAACTGCAAACTAACCATATATGTTATGGGTGAGGTTTTTTTTTACAAGCTTAAAGGCGTTTCCCCCACTTTTTAGCAGGTTGTCTTTTTTTGCTATTTTATGCTTATTTTTCTTTTTCTTTTATACAGGTCTTATATATAGCCTGTGTGTTTGGGGAATGTTCTTTTTCCCTCTTTTAAACTGTGCTTATATGATATTACATTTTTCCTTATTTACTAATTACAAATTTTTCTTTATTGTTATTTACATATTGTCATCTTAATTCTATTTAACTAACTTAGATCTAATTATATATCCTGTTTGTTTTACTATACAATTTATTTGTTTTCTATTTTAATATTATTTTCGGTGACAGATTTTCCTTAATACTAATATCACAGTTTTACACTTGTTATTGTTGAGATGACCTCAGAGATGGCAACATCTTAAAACTGGCAAGCGAACCACTTGACTACGGAGGTCGTCTAATAACAAACATGCAAAGATATAATAATC